TGGCCCACTGTGTATTTGAGTTTGACACCCCTGCCGTAGATGTTAAAATGTTCATGTTTACAGCAGCAATAAACACATGTACTGCTATAAAACACAAACAGAAGTTTAAAATTTGCTTCACCAGGGGCGTGGCCTCTTTGACTGACAGGTGGATGGTGACAGAGGCAGTTGTAGCTATAAGGTGGCTTCACCTCAGGTAACAGACCTGCAGACCCTTAGACTGTATATAAAAGATGGACTCTGCAGTGTGAAGCATCATTTGGATTCTGGCTGCTCCGTCTCAGTTTTCTGGAACCAGGATTTGAAGGACAACGTGCTGCAGTGACTTGGTGGATACGCGGTAATTAACAGCCTCACACCTGTCAGTCATAGAGACCACGCCCCCAACAGGTGACCTATAAAAAATACTTTTTGTGTTGTTGTTTTTCATATATTCTGACTGAACTATCATTGTTGCCCTTCAGCGTGACGTGATGTCCTACATCAGCGGTCCCCACCCCCGGGCCACAGTCGTTTGGTGCCGGGCTGTGAGAGTTGAGGCTTTTCAGGAGTTTTTATCATTTTTAATCCTTTTTATCGTTAACTCGGTTTCCCTGGGTCTTTCCCCGAGTGTTATGAATAAATCTCTTTCTTTGGTACTGGTTTTGTTGTATTTATCTGCGACACCTTAAAGGGGACCGCTGTCCTACGTGACATGGATAAAATGACCAAAAACATGTTTAAATATCTTTAAAGGACAGCTGAGTCTCCAGGGGACAGGCAGTTTACACTCTTCTTAAATTTGTATCATTTCAGTTTTGTGAGCCTGAAGTTTGGCTCACATTCACTGAAACAGGAAGTTCAACCATCTCATCTAAGAATACTGTTCATATTAATTACATGAAATAAATGACTGATTATTTATTTTGCGTACATATATACAAGAAGGAAAATACTGTCTTCTAGTACAACAGGTGCTTGAAAAGGAGTGGGAAGAAGTAATACCTGTAATACTATATGATACTTCTATAGACCACCTGCACATATTGTTGTGCAGCTTCTTCCTGAGTGTTCGTAATATCTTCTCTAACTTATCATATGGGACACGTGGAAAACACCTGCTGTAGCTTCATGCCCCCCTCATCTGTTTACTCATCTGTTTGGACGTTGCTCGTGCTGAGCCCCACTCCACCACTGAACCGCACAGACACAAGAAGCTTTCCTACTTTCTCACCAGCTTTAAAATTCTTCTTCAAATCGCAGCCTCGATCTCCGTGGTTGATTTTAAATATCAACCAGTAACAGATTATTTTTAGCTCTAAACATTATCTGTGCTGTAATTAACCAAGTTTGAATATCTTGACTGTATAAATAAGAAACTTGTATGATGAGGATATATACGAATTATACGAACTGCCTTTTTTTGTAGTGTGAAAAGAGAATTTAGTGTATTTTTATAATTATTTCCCCATAACTCAGTTACAGTTAACAGTACAGTATACAGAGACAATTATAATCTAGAACCTGTTTAATTTTGTTCATGACTGAGATGCTTTTGGACATTTTGTCTTGTGCGTGTCTGTGTGTGAGGTTTCCAAGTATCCTAAGAGTTTATTCTCATCATTCACCCGACAGTTACCAAATATCATTGCTTTGTTTCACTAAGATTCAGGGATCATTTTTTGCTATCCATCCAAGTTTTTAGCTGTCTTAATTTATTATTTACATTATTAATAAGTTCCTCATAATTATCCCCAGGAAAAAATATTAGTATCATCAGCAAATAATATTAAGTTTGATCACTTAGAAACATGACATTAATATATATGTTACATAGCCAATAATAAAGTAACGGTTTTACACAATTATGTTGCAGCCGAGTGATCAAATATCATTTTTAAGGTGGTATGACAATGATCACGTCCATCCTTTATATACAGTCTATGGTATCGATCCATCCGGAGTATAAAATGTTGAGTTTTGTGTCCTTGTTTTAGCATCACTGCAGTCGACACAGAGGAAGGAAACACACTTTGCTTCCTGTGAAATGAATCAGAATTAAAAAGACGGTTCATACAGGAACAGTCTCATTAAACTGT